TTTTTTTAAGGCGATTATTTAGGGCTGAAGAGTGGGGGGACTGTTTGTTTTCCCCTGCTTATCGTACAACTGCTTCAGTCCCGAAGCTGCTCCCTTTCCTCACCTGCTTTGTCCTCCCCGCAGCAGCAACTTCTCACCTGTCTCAGTTGGAAAGCAATAAAATAAATAAAATAAAAGCCCAGCCCAAACCCCCCACCACAAGCCCGAAAAGGGGATTTCCCCCCCGGCCCCCCCAGCAGCTTCTCCGCCTCTCACCTGTTCAGCCCCGAAGCGGCTGCTGTTTCCCTCGCCTTCCCCTTTCCCGGGAGCAGCCCCGGATCAACAGCAGGAGCCGCCGCTTCCCACTTGGCTTCGCCCGGAGTTCAGGATTCCATTGTCCCCCACGCTGCACCCGGTGACATCACTGACACACAAAGAAGGGGCGCCTCGTGACGTCATCAGCGCCTGCTGCTGGGGGAGAAAGCGAAATCCTGGGCGTCGCGCGGCGGCCGCAGAGCCGAGAGGCTGCCTGGGCTTTCCCAAGCTGAAAGCATCGGGGATTTTCTGTCTGTCTGTCTGTTTTTTTTAGCCCCACTGATGGGGAGCCCGTTTGTGTGACAGGCACTGCATGGAGTGCCACTGTACTTGGTTTTCGAGGCTTTTTGCTCTTTCCTCCCCCTGGCCCCAAATCTTTACTGCCTCTTGCATATGCTCTGCCCACCAAGCAGAAAATAATAAAGTGATCTGGCAAGACTGACCCAGCACACCCACCCCGTGTTCAGAAGGTCACTACCCTCGGTTACCCTTCTCTGTAGCCCTTGTAGTGGCCATAGATCTTAATCAAGGTGCTGGACCTGCTCCTGAAGGGACAGTAGGAATGGGCCATTACCATTGACTTCACTCAGGATAAAATTGGCTTGGTGCCCTTGTTTCGAGAGATTCAGCAATCAGGTTACCCGATACTTTTAAGTGGCCAAAAATATAATGAACTATCCCTGCCGTGCTCTGTGGCAATGCATAAGGACGTTTATCACCGATCCTTCTGCTGGGGAACCTCAAAAGTGGTCTGCGGGCTCATTACCACCCTCACACCCGAGGGGTCCAAGAGGTTAAATGATATAAACATAGCTCACAGGAGCAGCAGGGGACACGGGACACCTGCCCAGCGTGGCATGGTATGAGAGACCCCAACATCACCCCTAAAGCATCAAAAGTTCCACAGGAACTTAAGGAAAAAAATCTTAACAGTGAGGGTGACAGCCCTGGAACAGGCTGCCCAGAGAGGTTGTGGAGTCTTCTTCTCTGGAGATCTTCAAAACCCGCCTGGATGCCGCCCTGTGCCACGTACGCTGGGTGTCCCTGCATGTGCAGGGGCAGGTTGGACTAGCTGATCTCCAGAGGTCCCTTCCAATCTTCTTCTATGGATTCTATGATCCTGTGACCCCTCTGCTCTGAGTGGGGAAGGAGGAAGGGAGCCGGGTGCTTGTGCTGCAGACCCCAAGGCTTCCCTGCTCGGGCTTTCACGGCATGACGCCAGTGCAGGGGCAGCATTTCCTTTTGTCACCCTCCCT